TATCTTATGGTCCCTTCGAAACCAAACAACTTTTGTCTGAAAAATTTTTCTCTCCCGGGCTTGATTTTCGAGATATTCGACTGGATGGATTAAAATGGTCCACCCTGTATATATCACTGAAGTAAAGTTAGTTAATATTAAAGTACAATGAAGTACCATTTAAGTTTTATCTTTTAAAAAAATTATATTTAATTTAGATACAAGTTTTTTTTCAAGGAGCGAGGTTACACTTGACACCCTTTTTTTACTTTTTTAAAAAATATAATACACGACAAAAATTGCGTTTTATTTATGAAACATTTTCTTTTGTTAATAACTTTTTACAGTTTATAAACAATGGCCGACAGCTGAAATCTTTTAAAGGTCACTTAAGGTCATGACCTTAATAATGTTGCGCCCGTACTTCGTGGTGTCGGCCGAGTTTGAATTGTACCGACTGAAATCGTTCGCGGAAGCGAAGAAGAAAAAGTTGCTCCCTCAGCAACGTTGTTGTTTGGTGGGACTCTGAGAATGAGATTGACGTGCGCTTAGTGTATTTCAGAGTTCAATAAACCGTTGCAGTCCTTTTATAAAACGAGTGTGTTGTTCTTTTCCCCGCGAGCTCACGAGTGTGTGTCTTCGCCGAGGGCGCAAATACAGCAGTGAGCGCGAACGTAACATTTTGGAAGCTCGTCCGGAATCGAATGGACGAGCGGATTGAGTAAAAAGTAGCGATAGCAACCACTGGAAAAAGAGCGAGAAACGCTTCTCCGGAGAGTCTCCAGAGGAGGAAGAGGCGACGGACAATGGTTCGAAATCAAAATACGCGCTGAAAAATATTTTTTTATTATTATATCAACATAATACTACTTGAAAACAAAACTAGAGTATAAAAAAACATTTTTGACACAAAAAGTTGCAAACATTGCAAAAATCAATTTTGCAACTAAATATTCTAAATAAATAATTAAAATATTATTGGAGAGACAAATTGATTACGTCAATCGATTCTACGGGAAAAATAACTAAAGAAATATGTATAATTTTAAAACGACTGCTGTTGATGCGCGGTATAGCTCGTCGGTATCGGAACGGGTGGCCGGGATCGCCAGCAGGTTCAGGAGAGAGAGTAGCGGAACAATAACGAAATCGAACGAATTAGGTTTAAGTTAACAAAATAAAATATATTCCGCAAATAAAATAAAATAATAGTACATCGAATAATAATTCATCGCAAGATATAAAAGAAACCTGGAAACAATAAGACGTGGAATAAAGCTCCGTCGCAATATAAAAGAACCAACGGGATTCGCGGGGCGGTCCCCTATGCGGATTACAGGACCCGATAGGGGAGCGATAATAACTTAAAAGAAAAC